GGGGGGGGGGGAGTGAGCCGCTATGTACTACCTAGGGGATAAAGCTTAACTATTTACAATCAAATATCGACCCGATTAGAACTCGACAGACAAAAAAAAACAAAATAGGAACGATACAAAACGACGCCAACACTCCGGTGTTGTGGTGCGGAGCGCAGGGGAGGGGGGGATATAAATACTATTTACAGGCTAGGTCGCGAGTCAGTCCTGAGTCTCGACGTCCAGGCCGTTGACCATGCGCTCGATGCTCTTGAGGTCGGAGGGCGGCGGCGCGGCGGCCGTCGAGGTCGTGGTGGACGTGGGCGGGTCGGGGGGCGGGTCCGCGGAGGCCGCGCGCGCCAGCGGGGACCCCGCCCCCGCCCGCGCACCCGCCCCCGCTCCCGCACCGCCGCGTGCAGGCGACGAGCTCAGGCTGCGCGCGCGCGGCGCCACCTGCTCGAACGCGGACCCCAGCCCGGGCAGCGCGTACGGCGCGAACCTGTGCGCCTTGCCTAGTGAGGGCGCGGGCGCGGGCGGTGCGGGCGGCGGCGGCAGCGAGTACTGCTGCAGCAGCGGGTGCAGGTTGAACAGTAGGCCCGGCGGCATCTGATGCGGCGGGAAGAAGGGCGGCGGGTACAGCGAGGGGGGGTAGAGGTAGGGCAGCAGGGGCGGCTGCACCGGCGGGCCGAGGGACACGTCGGGCGCGGGTGAGGGCCGCGAGGGGCCAGCGGGCGGTGAGGAGGCGCGCGCTCCGCCCGAGCACGACGAGTCGGAGCCCGCTTCTTCCGCGCCGGAGTCCCCGCCACCTCCAGAGCTGAACCACGCTGTGGAATAAAAGATACTTTAGGCGAAATATTTCAACTCATCCAAATAGTTGAATTTTTATAATCCTTTAATAAATTTGACTCATAGTCCCACCAGTCTATTTAGATAGAGACTGTAGTAAAGTACGAACTATAATAGTTTTAAATTATAAGGGAAGTGACAAACATTAACATAATGATTTGTTAACGAAAAGAAATACTGTCATCTTGCTAAAGTGTATCGTACCGGTCACTAGCACCGGCCTATGGAGATGTAGAAGACTTATTACTCACAGCTGTTAGTGTGCTGCGTGGCGGAGGTCTGTGGCGGCGGGCTGGCGGGGCCGCCAACGTCCAGCGGCCGCTCATCGTCCTCGTCTCGCGCGTCTGCACGCGCCGTCAGCAGCGCCTGCCTGCGGTACACCGACAAACTGCTCGTGTTACCTTATGCTTACTTTTATACTCATACACATTACAACAATACCCAACACTAAAATACATTGGAAGGCGATTTGAGTAGAAAGATAAGATGGACTTTACGACTAAGCAATGCTGGTCAGCATAAAATGCTGCACGATGAGAACGCGACAGATCGAAATATCGAACCACAATCGGTTGCTATGTGGCACGCTAGTTAAGAGATATAAAGAAGCTGAGTTGGGAGGTAAATTGGTGTTTTTTAATCATTTATTGAATTAAACATTCATAGGTATCATCTTTGATAGGTACTATACAAATTAAGTCCCCCATCTATTGTTTTAAGCATTTATACACGTTCGCTATTTATGCATTCGCATTACTGCACGATCTAGGTATATTTCTAAGAACCACCGACGCTAGATGCACTTCACAGAACTGTCCTCAAAGATAAGATTAACAATCAAACCATGAAAGACCAGAATTAGAACTTTAAATGTTTGTAGGATTTCAATTATTTTGATGTATTATTAAACGTTTTCTAGCGGGTGGCTAATGACTTGGACTTTGTTTTTTGGACCGAAACCTATACAAGAAACATATCACCAACTCAAGTTCGGTTTCAAATAAACAGAGATAAAATATATGTTTATTTGTACATATGTTTTGTCGCTTAGTGCGCAATACTAGAATATCGCTGCTAACTGCTAATAGCATTTGTGATTATTGCAGCGCCGCGGCTTTAGAATCCCCAGCAGTGCACTGCATGTGTTGACATGAGCTATGTCAAACATCTATATTAACGACGTAATTATCAATAACAAGAGACGTACATCTTCTAAATATAACTATATATTTGATTTAATTTTAACTCGTCTTAAAAAAACACATACACATAAGTAGGGAAGTAAGAAGAGAGTGATTTTTGTATTTCGTTTTTTTTGTACACTCTGTCAACCCCGTAGGGTGATGACCAGTCGAATGATAAACATTTGAAGACAAAAAAGATCATCCGATAATTCAAGTCATAAAACTTTATAGTCTTACATAAGATCTAACTACAGAACTTCATTGAACTGATATGCATACGTTAATATAATATATTCTGACATACAGTCTATAATATGTAATATACAAGATTTACTGCAGTCGAAAGCAAAAGTTATATTGAATGATAATAACATCGTACGTATAAGATAATGATTATACAACTTTTAGGGCACTAAATAACGTTTAAATGTCATTTAGCTAGAGTCGTTAATTATTCAAATGCAATCGTGAGACACAACAGCTGTACCAGTCCGATACTTTGACAGTACTCCTTGCTTTATGTTGTACCTATAGAGCTTACAACGATTTCCTTCACTTTAATTAGTATTATATTAATAAGATTAAGAAATACTATTGTAGTTTGACCATATGACAAGGATAAAGTTAGGACAAAATTATGTTTTAAAAGTGCACTATAAATTAAATCAGTCTAAAAATAAGCAAGTTTTTATGGTTAACTATATTTATAATGAAAATTACATGCTTTCAATTTTCGAAACGACACCTTGCACTTTTGTCCCTCAGAGGGTGTCAATCGTTTGACATTTTGTGTAATGGGCCGCCACGACCCCCGGCCGCCGAAAGGTTAATCATCTCCTAATGATAGTGCCCAAACCCTAAACCGCCGCCCTTTCACGGAGGTGTGCACTTTTAAATGTAAAATGCGAAAAATAAGACCTCTTCAAAGGACATCTGACTTTATAGTATCGGATCAATGGTCCGGACTCGTCCTTTGATCAAGTTATCGAGAAAGGGATTTTCATTTACTTTCACATCGCTAGAAATGTTCTCGAATATTTTCAAGTATCTACTTCATTTCATTATAAATGAATAATTTTGTAACAAGTCTAGAAAACTAAACTAAGTACTGTCACTTATTAGCTATAAAAAATAATTCACATTAAAGGACTATGCAAAAGCTATTTTATTTGGCGTGACGTTACCAAAAAAACAACTTGATATGAAAAAAGAAACGTTTAAAAAGATTTAAAAACTTCACCCCAAAAGCCACGGAGGAGCGGCAATTATTTGCCTTCTGTCACCGAGAAAAACAAACAAATGTATTATGGGCATTGTTTTAGGGGCCCCTGGCCACCGGCGCGCCGCGTCTTCCCAAGCTGATTGCCGGCACCCGCTAAATTCATTTTATTAACTCGTCTCATCACCGCCTGATAGAATTTAATTTTCCCTTTCCCTTAATGTAGGGCTGCCACAAATATAACTGAATAATAATAAATTTTTATTCAATAGCGGTAACAAAATAAGGATTTTATTTCTTAGTTTATAAAGTTATAAGAAAAGATACTGGGACATTTTATACCTAGTATATTAGAGGTAGTAAGAATTGTACCTATCGCATTAATTAATAAACACTATCAGTGAAAAAAGGTTTTATTACTTTATACGACTCATAAAGTGTTCTAGGCATGTTTTATCTACATATTTTACTGCGGCAGTTTCTTAGAGATCTATTTAATTTGTGAATATAATATTTGTGTTTAAAAAACAAATGTTTTTAACAACCCTAGCTTAAGCTCGTATTAGGGTGTTCGCGTTACAATGTAAACGGTCTACGGCGGGGTGGGCCACCTTGTAATTTTGGCAAATTTTTATCCCTAAAACGTTGCAGTTAGCTCGCGACCCCTCGGATGGGAAGCTTTTTATTGAATCCATTGTCGTCAGTAAGACAAGGATGGTATATTAAAGAGCTGCCCTGATTCCCTCCACATTGTCTGTTGTAACCACAGTAACCGCGGAACAAATTCAATTTGTGCCATTATTTTAGTTGTTTTAAATTATTTGTGCGTAACCAAACTCTTTATGTAGCTTTAACTTTACTCAAACAACTTTTATGTTCTATTATATGTAACCTTTTAAACTAAGCAATTAGTGTTTTAAAACAGTCTATCACTTACGTAATTAAAAAACATATATTTTACATTATTTTTAAAAAACCTGCTTGCCAAAAAAAGTCATAACGCAAGTAAGCATAGTAAAAAAATTAGTTAAAAACGTCAACGTCGCGTCGCTGTGTAAGGAATAAAATGTTAGAAATTTTAAAATTTTCATTAAATTTCAATACTTCTTTTTTACAGAAACATTCAGAAAGTAGGTTGACATAAAACAGGCGTGCTAAGCATTAAAGAAAATAATCAAAAAATAACTTGATATAAATCGCACAGAGGATTTATTTTGCGGCGTTCAACAAAATAGTTGATTACTTTTTAATAGCACACTTAAAAACGAAAATAAACCTAGTACTGAGAAATGTAATAAATTCATGGATCATTTAATTAACAATTATTGAGTTAGAAATCCTTTATGTTAAGAATCTAAGCTTTATTTCGATAAAATCACTTTTAAGCGTTCACTGACTGAAAACGCATTCTTATTTTTAGCAAGAAACAAGATCTTAACCAACCGCATCTATACGTACATTTATAAGCTGAGCGTTGATTTCTGAGACAAAAATCCTGTCATTATCTTCAATAAAACAGAGATAGCAATATATTTTAAACGGGGACTGTGATCTTAGAAACCCATGGTTAAATAATTAGTACTAACCATTATTAACTTTTGCGTGAATACAATTAAAATGAATTGTAAATGTAAGAAAAATCCGTGTAAACATTGTTCGGTCTCAAAGGCAACGTGACGCGTCACACGCGGCAGGCATGCGAACAATTGTCCTGCAATAACTCACCATTGTAATAGGGTGACCACACGATCTAATAAGAATGTAAAGTATTATTGTATTGATAGATGCTGAATACTTTGTATTACATTATTGTTATTCTGTTGCAACTAAATGTCATGGAAACCACAATATGTTCTTAGATGTAAGAGTCATGTACCAAAAATGTTATTTAATCTTTATACACCCACTATAAAGATCTCATTTCTCATGCCTTTTATTTACTTTGAAAAAAAAACAGAAACAACGATATGCTTTAGTAGTTAGTGTTTTCGCAGTGGAATTTCACAGTTGAAATGAGAAGTTAATTTAATATTTCACCAGTCATTCGACGATTCGTGCTTTTATTATTTTTTATATCATTTTATATTATTTATTACAAAATTAATTTTATAAGGTGTCCCTTTAAACGTAGTTTCTTAGAAAATAATCAAATAAAATTTCATTAAATGAATATTTTGCAGGCGCTTTTAAATAATTAGACTTTAACGTCGAATACAATTACGTGGGCTGTTCTAAGAAGCGCTAGGCAAGACACTCTTACATTTCAATTATATTTTTTATTCGAAACAACTTGAAATAAATTCCATTTCCATTAATTTCACTCTTGAAAAATCTAAAAATACTGCGTTACTTATCTTTCAGAACATTTATAAAATATTAAATTTTCTCTCAGTAAATTTTATTTAAATATTTTAATGTAACTAAAATCCTTTGCTACAACATAAATCACTTGATCAAATTAAGCCCGAATTTTATGTATTTTTTGCTTAGTAACAAATAAGATTGAACAATCACAAATAACATCCCTAGTTGTTACATCTTCATGGCATCACTACAAGACAAAGGGAAGCGTTGAGTTATGCGCCATGTGTCCCGGTACTCGCTTTTCCCGAGCGCGGCGTTTGTCAAAACGATCACGTTTCCCGCGCTTCCGGTCGGCGGCCATTTTGAAAAGATGAGCTTCCGCCGTCCGGCCGCGGCCGCGTAACCTCTAATTCGGAAGCTGCGGCGCCCTGGTTCCGGCGCAAAATGTTAACTAAGCGCATTAAATTTTCTTCGGACGTGTGCTTTTTAAAATTGCCACGCACACGTTTTGTTTACGTAAAATTATGTCTACAGAAAACAATTAATGTTATTGTCACAGTTTTCAATATATCTACGTTTCATAGGTTAGAACAATAAGACCGTTATTTTTAATACAGATTGGATATCATCAAGTTGTAGAAAGACCAGTCCCTATTTGATTTATGTTGTTGCATTATAATTTTATGAATATTAATGTTTAGAATATATTACCTGACGATATAAGGTTTGGGCGTCATATATTCTTGAACAAGAATAAATAGATAAGATAGACAAAGAGGACGTTTTATCGAATGATGGTCGGTGACGTCTCATTAACAAAAAGTTGCAGTATATAAAAAGATACATCTTCTGTCCCTGATTGAGGAAAGTGAGAAGTTATTTTAACCGACTGGTCGTTAAACATAATGCATTATTAAAAACCACACACGAAGCTTTTAAGCGTTATATCTCTCGTTATCACATTAAGTCATGATAACTTTTCAATTAGCGCCGACAGCCGTGTGGTGAGTGGTTCTTTTAATATGGAATCTTCTCGGACTCCGGGCGGTACAATACTAAAGCGGTTATCATCATTTACATACATCAAGATGACTCTATTGTCTCAACCTTTAAAATACAAGATAACCTTGATGACTACCTGAGCCATAGCTTGAAAAATAAAATTGTTATAATTTCCTTATTACACCCATCTCTTCCTTATTCACCCTGTATCCTAACAAAAATGCTGGCAATGCTTTCATAGGTTATAAATAAGGCTATTGTGGATGTACACAGGACTACAAATGGTATATTATGAGACCTGCTTCGTTGTTTGTCGATATAAAATTAAAAAACCTTAGGTCTATTTTCTTTTGCAAAATAGATGCTAATTGTGTTCTCTATCGAATTAGACATTGCCGCGAGCTATCCCCCGCGGCGCGAGCAAATTACGCGATAGGAAAAAAACTGAAGTCGATTTTATCGTGGAAATCCAATTTTCTCCCCAGCACGCTAAAGACGAAGGAAAAAGTGAGTGGAATGACTCTACCATTCCGAGCACTGCTATGTTTTAACCGAACACGAATAAGGAGGCGCCGGATTGGCTTAATTTGAATTTTCAACGGCGCAGCGCCGTGTCGGGTGTCGACTGGGGTAACCATTACTGTGTCATACGTTTGGGATAATTAATGTCGGGTCTTGACAGGTATACTTTAGATGGCTATATTAAAAGACAATTTCATTATGCAGTACATAACCGTATATTTGAAAGTTTGCAATATAAACCTCATAAATTATATTTCGTAGTATTTGACAACTGTATAAAGTTTGAGGCCAGATCTTAATTTATTACACGCCTTTTTTCATTTATAACACGTAACTGATCTGACCTACGTAACCAATTTGATAAAATCTTTGTAACCGAATTCAAAAAGGAGGCTCTCAATTCATCTGTGTATGTGTGTAACTTTTTTTTATAATCGACTTTTCTTTTACTAATCCCCTAAATTTATATGATTTCTAAACTGCCTGTTAATTTAAAAAAAAAATCGAATGTCTCAGATAATTAACTATAAACAAAATGAATTAAAAACGGAATCAGACATAAAGCGTCTATGGTGGTCGTAATTTGGGCGGGTGCATTTGTGGCGTCGGTGCTCGTGCCCTAATTAATTTGGAGCGATTCGCAGATAGCGGGCTAATTTCGTTAGCCGCTCACTTCGCTAAACGCTTAATCTTTCGCCTTTTACTTGAAGCGAAACGATATTATATCGGATAATTTTAATGCTCCGATCAAAGATACGGCTTAGGTATTTAGAATTCTGAGGTATCTGTAGAGTTAGTCAGATAGTTTGCGTTCTTATATTTATCTGTTAAACACAATCGGAAAGAAATAACAAACAGTTACATGGTTTGAGTTCACGTCGTTGGGTAAAATACGTTCGTTTTAACACGTACAATGCCACTATGATTTTTTTGTAATACAAATTGTCAGTCGGTCCTTGCGAACCGGTAGCATTTAGAAGGTTAAATATAATGTGTTTTGAGTTATTTTAAGTGATATATGATGTAAATAAATCACAGAATAGATACTTACTTCTTTTCCCTCTTCCCTGCTCCCGTGTCCCGGAAGCCTTTCGCGAACGGGTTGTTATCTATCTTTAACTGCGTTATCTGTAAATAAAATTTTCACTTTAAACTATCATTAGGGTAGTGAGATTCAAATCCTTGTAAAAGATAACTCTTTAAGGGGTTATCCAACCGTGCGAAGCCAGGATGGATTGCTAGTTTATATCAATATGACTGTACGCACCTTTTCGTTCTGGTATGCGGTGACCGCGATGAACTCCGTCTCCTTGAATACATAAGTGCGGAAGGTGGAGTAAGGCAGCTTGAGGATGTCGTTGGCGCGCACGAGGTGGAAGCGCGGCTGGTACTTGTGCATCGAGTTCAGGATCGTCTGCGTGACACACTTCAAACAGCTTAGGAACTTGATCTGTTATCTTATCATTCATATTGATGTATACTAATTATATTTTAACATATAACCGCCATTTGATTTGGCACATCGGAAATAAGAGTAATTGTCTGCCCGACGTGCCAACTCAAACGACAGTTAGCTACATCAGCAATGTGAATCTGATTAAAATAAAGGTTAAATGTTTGTACAAAACTATTAATAATAAAATTAAGTACGTATAAAGAAAAAACCCTTCATCGCAAATTGATTGGTTAAGTATTAATTACCTACGCATATTAGTATTCAATTTAAAATATGAACACAGTCAGAGGGATTCAGATAGAATGTAATAATAGTGTATTGCACAAAGGAAAGAAGAATTATCAGTGCGTTGAACATTAACACATTGACACAAAAATAATAAAAGAATAATGAATCGTTAATTTTTAGTAGATATTGTGTGACAATAGCAAAGACGTCATCAATGGGCTCGTATGCAATTGATTCCGAAGGTAACTCGCCATCGAACCTGCCTCATTGGGGGCATCGTAATTGGTTGCAATTCATCGAATCGCCAGCCCACAATAGTTGCGATTCATCAAAACCACTCGGCGCTCTCGTCTCTTTCATTACGATACTGAATCCACTTCGATATTTTGCATCTGTAGTGTTCGGTTCGAAAACAAATACCATTGCTTAATTACTGGCTGGATAACGAACATTTTTGAAGGTTTATTTAGTTTGTTATAGACAAACAAGGATATCCAGTTCGATGAGAGGCGCTGCTATCGCGGTTAGTTCTGACAGAAAATATACGAAACCAACGTGTGCATAGAAAACGAAATAACAGCGACAGCACGAAAAGGGACTTATGACACTTTTTTTTTAATTTTTAAAACAACACATTAATATTTTAAACAGCTTAGACGCTACGAAGCTACGACTGATATTAACAAAGAAATTTATCGATATTTACATATGTATTGCTAACTTGTAAACAAGGAAATACTGAATGTTTTCCTACACAAGTAATACATAGTCATCGACTGCCCCCTCTAGCTACCTACATTTCTAAGACCTTCAATTTCTCGCAAATGGCACGTAGTTTTGAAGTGAGTGCTCTCTCTATTTGATCTATGTACTCTGTACACCGACCCTTGTTCACTTGATACTTGTAACTATAATAGACCTAATGCATACCCTAGCTTTAACCTTTTAGTTTCTTTCTTATCATTTTGCAGACCTATTTTCAACTTTATTGATAAAAAGTATGATATTTTTTAACGTACCTAACTTTCAAAATTATACTACACTAGCAGTTGCCTGCGATATCGCCCGCACGGAATTAAAAAATCTAGTAATATAGCCTATGTCATCCGGTGACAGTGTAGCTTCAAAAGAGTGAAAGAATTTTTCAAATCCGTTAAGTAGTTTTGGAGCTTATTTAATGCAAAAAACAATCAAATCTTTCGTCTTTATAATATTAGTATTGATATGTCATTTCATGATGGCTTAGATCAAGTGACATTATTTTTACTGTTAAACTAGGAAATGTTCCAAATGTTTCTCTCGAAGCGAGTCAGTGCATTCTTGACAACCTCGTAATTCTGTTGTGGATACAGCTAGAACTTTGAATTTCTAGATAACATCCATGTTTCATTTCTAAAACTTTTATCTAAAGGGCCTAGCACGAAAATTTATGAGAACATTTTCGTAACTACGACGTCTGGTCGTAAAGTACGCCAACACATCTCATACAAATTCGTCATTTTGTCACAATATTCGTGCTAGGCCCTCAATCATATATCCTGTATTTTTTACTAGAGATATCGCTTAATAATGTTACTTTTTTGTCCTATATATATCTTAACTCATGTGTAAAGTAATACATCAGTGGTTGTACGTCTAACGTAGTATGTATTAAAGGAATTATTGGTAAAAACTATTGCTTAAGTAATAAAGTTACATCGATATGGCAATGTAATAGCTGCCGCTGCGTTCTCACCCCACGTGTCATTAAGGCTCATTATTGCGTGCGCCGATGAATCAAACATGAGGTGATCACGATCTCTTTCAAAGGCGGCAGTTAAAGAAATCAATGCCTACTTGACTATAATTGACCGACCAGACTTAACAAGGCGCATTCTACCAAGATTGAACCGTACAGGTGGATAAATGACATTGATCGTAGATTATTGAATTATTAATTTCTTTCATTGTCTATTAAACAAGGCTATCGCATTTTACGTGACTTTTTTTCTTTAGTGCTATGGAAAAAGTATTACTAAACGACTGAGACGACAGTCGATAGGACTAAAAATTCTGGAATAAAGCGTTTTAATTACAACGTTATTATAAGAAGGTCTAAGAAGACAGAATGATCAAGAATTAATGATTGTCTAGAAAGTGCTTTAACCGTGGATTTCTGATACCAAAATCTCCGTTTAAAACATCATTACCTCTGTTTTGTTTTGCATTTAATAGCGTATTAGGAGATTGAAACCGCAACGACCACCTTATCTGACAAATAAGTTTCAAGTAGCTTATTCAGGACATAGATGCCTGGTTGATGAGGAAGCTGCTTAGCACAGGTTTAGTCATATAAATCTAGAACAAATGATTATTTAAGTGATAATTAAACGACGCTGAGTACGCATTTAATATAGGCACTCATACAACTGCATTGTGTTTTTTGGTAAAAAAACAATGTTATTACAAGCTAAAATGTTACAAAGAAGTGCGTTACCGGACGGTTTGCATAATGACATGTTACCGTGACCCCTCCGTCACACAAATTATAGTATTAGCTGTTCAATTTAAATCGTTTATGACATTTTTTGTAGCTTATTGTCATATTCGCTCCCCTTGTAATGAATGACCGAAAGTTTTGTACTAAATTATCTTGTTTATGAAATTATTTATTTAAATAATTATTTTATTAAGCTATTTTTTATACTCGGTTCTGTCTAGACAGAATTTAATTATTAAAAAAAATTATAAATTTTGTACTAGGAGTATTCTTTTGAATAATGAAGTCTGTTAACTGAATAAAAAATATAAACCTTACCTGTCCATTACAGATAATTTTTTTTTCTTCAATAATGGTGTATGAAAATTTTTTACTTTAAGATTTTTGCGTCAACGTCCTAATATCTTTATCATTCCCTTAATTTAATGTATTATTCAATCTCTTTAATTGTTTACCGAAATTAATAAATTAAAATTATATAAATTAATATAGTACCTTAAAACCTTTATTAATAAAATCATGATTGTATAAACAGACGACAAACTTATACACAAAAAATAGCGACATCTAGCGGGCAGTAGAACAAATCATTTAACATTGGGATCGATATTGCGCGAAATAAAACCGCCGGCAAGATGGTTTGCAAATGTGAACTGTTTATCTTTTACACGTTGCAATTTATTTTCAGTTTAAATTATAAATTGCTTCAGGCAATAATTACTCACGCGCTTATCAATCCAAAGTTTTAGTACTAGTTCCTAACTTTTGTTTACAAAGGTTAAGTTAGGAGGTATTTGATTTGATGAAATAGCCTGCAACAGTGCATCATACATGTATTCAAACAATGTTTATCTAGAATAGTCTATAGTCTTTCCAAGTCGCACTAGACGTAGAGCTATCCCCATCGTCTAGTACGTCTTGTCGATGTTTGCAAGCTAATGAAGCTAAGCGCTGAGAAACTATTAAAATGACATACGCGTATGGACGTAATCTAGATATGTGTGTCCATTGTTGCCGGCGGAGGTTTTGTGTTGCAAAAATAATCTGTTTGTATGCAAAGATCTCTATTAGAATTCCTCGACCGCAGTCGAGTGGGCAGACCGCTGTATATCAATATTCAAAGCGGGCGGCTGTTTATTCTAAATGAGCAGACGTCGCTGGTGTAAATAAGTCGCAGCTAACGGACGGTACAATGGAAACAGATACATAACATGTCGTATATTATTTTATATGTAAAACATACACCTCCGTTGAGTTTAGTTTGAGAAACTATTTTTTACATTATTTTTCTTTTTAATTAAAGAACACGAGAAAGAAATTCAATTACGATGATTTTATCAGACAAACAAACACCAGTTTTTTAACAATAAAACGGGTTATCTTATTAATATTACAAATGGAAAATTGGTGATGTCTCCAGAACTGCAGCATGAAACTCGCTGACATTTAGCATAGATGTAGAACATAGTCCGGAAGTACACATAGACTACTAATTTAGTTTTTTTTAATAGCTAGCAAACTATATTTATGCAGATAGCCTTATTTAAGACATGTCAATGTCATGTCTTTAATTACAATAGTCCAAGACCTCACGTGATCCGAAGACATTTTATTACTTTATTTATACACTATTGTCTTAGCGTACAAATATACTTTAGTCTTAAGTTGCTTATTTATACATTGTAACTAAAGTTGACGATAAAAAAATCAAACCTATCATTGAAAGATATTCAGCACGAACGGTCGAGTCAACTTACGATTTCCCATTCAAAGCATTACAGTATTAGAATTAAAAATAGCGAATTTTACAATTTACAAGAATGTAGCACTGAGCAAAGTGATGAGCGACGTCAAATCAAAGTCCCAGCGGATGTTGACGTCAAATCATTCAATCGAATTAAATGCAATTTCAACTAATCGTAACCGCGGTGAGGTCGGCACAATTAGTCAATAAAATTTGCAAATAAAAACAAGCATTTTAAACAAATTGTTACAACTATCCCTCTGCTTTATTGTCATAGCTTTTCTTATCCTATCGTTACTTACTCAAGAAACAAAATAATGATTGATAAATACATTAAAACTAGCTGACGCCCGAGACTTCGTACGCACAGAATTAAAAAGAAATCTTAGTAAGCCTATGTGTTCTTCCAGACTATGTTCTATGTCAAATTTCAGCTAGATTCATGCAGCAGTTCTTGATATACCTTCTAATAAACATCCATCCATCCATCTAAACATTCGCATTTATAATATTAGTAAG